AAGTACTTCTTGTGTATATGCAACGGAAGTGATGCAACAGAAATGATGCGACGGATATGGTGCAACGGAAATGGTTGGGGCTGAAACAAGTGCTTCTTATGTGTATGCATATTGTATAAATTTAACAAAAATTTGCTAACAAAAGGTTAAAGAATAACACTTAGGAAAAGACCAATACAAGAATGAAAGTAGAGGTGACACCGTACATAAATGAAGAATAGGATAAAGGAAAAGGTAAAAATAACAACAAAAACAAAGATGCGTAAAGATAAAGGCAAAGGCATGAAGACCAAGGTAAATCTAAACACTTTACTTATATATATAAGAACAAATGTGAAGGGGAATATGTAGCTGAAAAACATGATGAACATAGAAGTAAAGACAAAGAGGAGGATGAGTATACCGATCAAAACAAAGATGAAGATAGGGGAAGAAGGATTAGAATAGAGGTAATTAAAGAGGAAAGGATATCGAGAGAGACACAGAGACTCAATCTGGGAACTATTTTTGGATTTTAGAGATTTTCGGGATTCTCGAGACCTATCGATAAAATAATCGATATTTTTATCGGTTTTGTTATCGATTTTGTTATCGATTTTGTTATCGATATTTATCGATTTTGTTATCGATATTAACCGATTTTGTTATCGATATTCATCGATTTTGTTATCGATAATTATCGATTTTGTTATCCATATTTATCGACTTTGGTAGCGATATTTATCGATTTTGTTATCGATATTTATCGATTTTGTTATCGATAATTATCGACTTTGTTATTGATATTTATCGACTTTGCTAGCGATATTTATCGATTTTGTTATCGATATTTATCCGATTTTGTTATCGATATTTATCGGTTATAATATCGATATTTATCCGATTTTGTTATCGATATTTATCGATTTTTTCAACGATTTTGTTGTCGATATTTATCGATTTTGTTATCGATATTTATCGATTTTGTTATCGATATTTATCGAATTTGTTATCGATATTTACGGATTTTGTTATCGATATTTATCGAATTTGTTATCGATATAAATCGATTTTGTTATCGATATTTATCGATTTTGTTATCGATATTTATCGATTTTGTTATCGATATTTATCGATTTTGTTATCGATA